GTTAATAATTAATATATAATCTGGAAATATGATGATTATTGTCATTAACGACAATCATATTTTTGAATACCAATGGCTTGAATGTATAGCTGTGCTGTTCGTAACCCATTGTCGTATTCATACCAAACCTAATTGTTTGCTTTTATTGTATTTAAAACTTCTCACTCTTTCTTATCAACAATTCAAGTGTTATTTAATTTACTGTTATTTGAGTTCAACGATTGAATTCATATCTGTTTTATCGTAAGTTTGTATTATTAATTATATTAGAGATTAATAATAGTTTGGCATTAAATTTAATTATTTTGATTGATTGTAAGTGTTGTCTCTTTATTAGGAATTTAAAGTGTTATTTCAATTTGATGTTAAATGTACATTTATATTTTTACAATTTTTATAATGTACAATTGAATCATACATTACATTAATTATATCAGAATTTTAATAATGTCTATAATAACAGTAATGCAATACTTAAATTTAAACATTGTTTTTACAATTATGAATAATCAAATTGTTTAACTCATTATGCATTACACTTTCCTATCAATCATTTGAGTATTAAATTGTTAATAAGAATTGACTCTTTAATTATGAAATACATTTAAAGATTGTCAATAAATACTAATATATTGTTGTGACCAAAGAATATCCTTTAGAAGAATCCCAGAATCTACTGACGTCTCACAATAATATTAAATTTTATTTTTATGATCAAAACATTTTATTAAAATTATAATAAATGTACATTTTATTGCTTAATTATCAAAAATCTGATCACTTGATTGGACGGCAAATTTATTATTTATGAAATTTAAAGCAATTGCAATAAAAACAAATTTTACATAATTGTACAATTAAACAACTAAACTAATAAACATTTTTAAAAATTTAAGTAACAATTATAAAAATGAGTTTCATTTGAAACGAGATTTTAGCAGTTAATCGGACTATTCATCACTGATTTTAAGTTACAATTGAAAGTCTTTAAAAATTGTTTTATGTTTGATAAAACCAAGTTGGCACTAAAAACAAATCAAGTTAAATTATTATGCATAAATTGTATAATTCATTAATATATTATTCATTTACCCAAATTTTGTCATATCATAGGAATAGTTATAACTAATATCATATCGATTGGTATAATAAGTACTGACAGCAGAGATCCAAAACATTTGTTCAGATGTGTTGTTGAGACCAATTAAACCAAATTCTGGTATCAATTGTTGTTTAACGTCAGCCATATATGACATGTATGTTAGTCTAAATACTATCATATCTATTATATGACGCCTAATCAAATCAATACGATTTGTGTCATTAATTTCGACAACTATTTTATCAAAGTTTTCAATTTTATCGGCAAAACACTTGGCCGTCATATTAAATACATTGTCTGACTCCCGGTCCCATCCCTGGCCATAACCATCCCTGTCATTATAGGGGTTAGTATTGTCCAACACTTTGAGCATTTGTTGTGCAATCAATACACCAAACTGTCCATAATTTAATGCCCTCGACAATAGAAAATGATGAAATATATATTAAATCAATAAAAACATAATGAAATTATGATAATTGACTGTCAATTCCTATGGAAACCGGACAATCGCTTCACATTTATCTTACTCTCAAAAAACTGATTTATTAAATGCTGTCAAAAAAGCGATTGTTATTCTATACGAGTTTGTTATTTATTTAATTAAGTTTTGTTTGATTTAATAGCAAATGAAAAGTAATACTTCGGCACATCTTCTTTGTAGAGACCATTGATTACTAGATCTGATATGAAGAATGTGTTGTCTTCTGGTTTATATGTGAAGATAATATCGGCTGGATTTACACCTCGCTGTAAATTCCTATAAATCAATGTGGATTTTATTTTTAAATTACTGATATAATTAATTGATAATGACTTACATTTTTAAACTATCGCTCTGTATATCAATAAATAGTTTCTCCATTTGTCTGTCGACTGAAAATTGATTTAATTTCAAAGTGTTTTCGTAATATTCTTTGGAAATATTGACCTAAAGTTTTACAAAAAAAATGTGCCGCAAATAAAATAAATTGATTAGATTTTAGTCTCATTTCTCAATTTCACATTTTGTCTCAAATATTAATAATAAACTTTATTTGATGAAAAATGCTTGAATCAAAATAATCTCCTATTTAATGAATTATATAAGAAATAATAATAACTATCATATAATACATACATTTGTGAGCCAATTGTCCATTTGGTTTTCATCGAGCAATTCCTGTGGAAATCCTATCCTTAATGCCATTAATTTTATTTTTTCATTTATTTTATACTTCATTCCATCGCTCATCCATTTATTATTGTCAACCAATTCAATGAATGCTTTTTTCATGTTATTAATCATTAAAATAACCTTTCGGTTTGTGATAGAGGAAAAAGTTAGTTAATTAATTACTAAAACAAATACCAAAATTATTGTATTATTTTTGGTTATGATTGTTATGATTGTTTAGAAACGAACCTCAATTTCGTTTCTTCCACTCGTTTTATGTTTGAGATAAATATTTCCCAATTCTAACGGCATATAAGCCTCTATTTGTTTGAGACAAGTTTGCCATCGATTTTCTTTGGCAACATTTCCATCACGTTTTATCAAATATGTTTCCAATGATTTTCTCCATCTTTTGCTCATTAATGGTATGGATTGATAGATAACTCTCCAAATCAGATAATTAGCCACAACTCTATTATGAGTACATAAAGTATTGGGATATTAATCATTATTTTCGTTAATCACAATTTAATTCACTCAAAATGACAACACATTTAGTTGACAGCAAAAGTAACTATATTTTCCCAGTAATTATGATTTAAGCTTACTTTCTTAAATTATAAAAAGCATTATTATTATATTGATAATTACAAGAACTCATACCTAGAATCAGTTGTACTGAGTTTCTGATTAAGCCTTTGGATATATGGACGGNGGTGGTTAGATTATGCATATCTCATGCAAAGGTCGCCATTGATTCCCTTCTCCAATATTAACGGTGTTTTCCCTTCATTTGACTTCTGGCCCCATAAGAGCGGCACTCGGACCCAAAGGGCCGCCCTTTTCGGACACTACACTCTCGAGTTTCATCATATGTTGCGAAAGTAAGCCCTATATAACCATTATATCGCTGTTTTTAACTTTCCATTTATTATATTAATTGTGTTTACTATTTAGGGAACAATTAAGAGTGACTAAAATCAAAGGCAACATCTGGTCGATGGATCAGTTCCGGTATTTGTTCAATACGTGTCGAATACCCGGCGAAGAAAAGGATACACTTATTAATACGTTTAAAACTGGTTTGTTATACATTTAGGACAAGAAATGATGATTATTTGAATTAACATTTGGTTTACATTTGATTTAATTGTATAGAAAATGAGGGACCGATGCCTTCGACCATATCTATAGTGCTGTGCAGAGGATATATCTTTGCCTTTGATTACATAGTCGACGGCCAATATCTGACGGCACCTGAAATCGAGACTCAACTCAATTATGTGGAGAACTGGTGCCAAAAGCAGAGCCATTTGGGTGCGGGTGTCGGCGCCCTCACGACTACCGACAGAACCAAATGGGCGTTAAATCGCAAATATTTACAACAATTGAGTCCTGAAAATGAACAATATTTACAAATCATTGAAAACGCAATGACTGTCTGCGCGCTCGACGACGCGGAACCGCCTTCTCTTCAAGAGGTGTTGTATTTTTAATGTATTTTATTATTTAATGTTTTGGAAAAATTTTGTTTTAGTTAGTCTAGGACTTAGTCTAGTCTTAGTCTAGGACTTAGTCTAGTCTTAGTCTAGGACTTAGTCTAGTCTTAGTCTAGGACTTAGTCTAGTCTTAGTCTAGGACTTAGTCTAGTTTTAGTTAGTCTAGGAAAAACTTAGTCTAGACTAGACTTTTATATTAATGTGTATAAAACATTTTACATAATTATGTATTTTTATAAACACATGTATTTTATTGTAAACATTATAAAAAGCGTAAAAATATAAATATTTAAATTAATTGAAATATTTACAATCTGAAGGCCTGTTACCTAACGATGTGCGGTAATTGTGCGGACCGTTGGGCCGATAAATCCATTACACAAATCACATTTAATAACGGCATTCTTTCGGCCACTTCTGACGTAAGCATAGATTTATTTAATTATTGGTTTTGACATTAATTGTGTAATTGATTTGATTGATAGCACTCGGCGTTTGACGCCCTGGCACTCGCCATACTCTCCCAATACATCAATTTATCCGTTTTTGAGAGTAAAGGCGAATATTACGGCCCAAAAGTGGTGCGAACTCTTCCGACGCCAACACTACTCGACTTCAGAGTCGACGACAAACTGCACGAAGAGATCGAAAGCGCTAAACAATCGTTTCGTCAAACTTGTGATGGCATTGAATTTGTTCACCAAATATTCAAAGACTACGGCAGAAGTCTATCGGCTAAGCATCGGATCCATCCCGAGGCGTACCTCCAGATCGCGTTGCAGTTGACATATATGCGAATGCATGGGAAGCCGGCGCCCACTTATTGTACGGCAACCACACGGCGTTACTATAAGGGAAGGACCGAAACGTGTCGCACATGTACTCCAGAGACCGTGGAGTTCGCCAAAGCCGTGATCGACGCAAACCGAAATGTATTTGGATTTTGAGTTATTTTTCTGTTTCACTAATTGTTTGACTATAATATTGTTTGTTTTGTACAGAATAATGATTTATTCAATTTATTGCTCAAAGCATCGCAAAAATTTCAACAAATCATGACAAACGCGTGCAAAGGTAGAGACAATCGGTCGCAACAATCAATTTTGTAGTCATAACTAATTGTAATCCTATCGCAGGACAGGGCTGTGATCGACATTTCCTCGGGTTATACATTACATCGTTAGACAACGGCATAGAATTGCCCGAAATATTTACGGACCCGTCGTTTATGGAAACGGGTGGTAACGGGACGTACGTCCTGTCGACCAGTTGTGGCGGTTATTGGAAGTCATACGGAGGTCTGCCTCCTATGCGAGAGGACGGTTACGCCATATTCTACGGCATTGAGAACCATCAGTACTCCTTCAGTCTCTTCGCCTACAAGGCCTGTCCCGACACAAGCGCTCAACTCTTTTACCAGAATCTGAGACAATCATTGCTCGAAATGCGAGATATACTGGATTCGCAAAAGTCAGACACAACAACACTTCAGCACAATCTTTGATAAGTTTTTTCCCACCTTTTATTTTACTCGCAAATTATCTGTTACTTTAAGTCTTACTTTGTTTTACTTTAAAAGTTATGTTTAAATGATTTTATTGTATATTTTTATATCGTAATTCTTTTAATTGTCTATTTTCTCAATTTTACATAATTTGTTTTAATTATTTATTTTTTAAACAACTTCTTTATAAACTTATAGAATAATCAGTTTTAATATTTTATTAAATATTTGCAAAAAGTAGTGTTTATTTTCAATAAGAAATCTCTATATTTATAAAATTATAAAAAAGTTTTTTGATTGATGTGATCATTCATACGCTCAAAGTCTCGTCTATAACCCCAAAACCCTCCCCTCCTTCTCAGATACGGGTTATTATATCCATTGATAAGACATCACCCGATGTGACCACTATTTAGATATTGATTAATTAAATTAAGCGAAAAACATAAATATTGCACAAAATCAAAGTCCATTCTTTACTTAACTGTTGAATTGATTTAATTTGATTGATAATGAGGTTGAAGTGTATATTTGACTAAACATGTGGCGATTAAAGCCAATTAAATCTATTATATGGAAGTCATAATACTCTGTTGTCGTCAGATCTTATATATACAATACATGTATATTTCAATGAAATTTAGTTATAGTTTTTTATAACCATTTGTTAGGATATTATGTTTTAATTGTTGACTGATTGCTGGGAGGCTTTTGTCTATGTTTACGATTGCAATGCAAAGTATAATAAATATTATTGACATTTAATGCATGCATTTGTCTGAGAATGTGATAAAACTATATTTACACTGAAAATAGTGATAAAAATTATGATTTAATTGTGTTTACAATATATTGAAACAATTTTGTGTAACACAACAAATTCATACATAGGATACAAAATTTATATTTGTTTATACGCATAGAAATAACACTAATTATTTACATTTAAGCGATTTAATCAATGAAACACAAGTAAATTAAAATCTTTAATGTGATAAGCATTCAGTTTGAATACAATTGCAAATATATTAACATATATTCAAAATAATAAATTATTCTTGTTTTTCAAACAACACACAAAACACTTGTTAATTCTTTACACAATTAGATGTGTTTCACTAATCTATGTGTGTTTACCTGTCTATTGTATTCAAACAAATAATATAACAATTTTTAAAAATCTATTTCAATTAAAACTTGATTTATTTTGTTATTTCTGAAACAATATTTGTACTGAATTTCTAATTAAATGCAATATTTTTGATGCGATGACATATTCTGGAGTCTAGTTGTGATTAGTGTCTGTTATGATTGTTTGTGAAGTATTATTAGCCCGTAGTTTAACGCTTACATGCAATACGATTAGCGCAACGATCGTTAACGCCGTGGATGTGAAGCACAGGTAAATCAACATAAAGGGATTGGTCTCGACATATAAGCCGACGATCAGCGGACAGACACAAGAGGACAGTCCCGTACAGAATATGAATATAGAGCTGATTATGTTTGTGATCTTTAGGTTCTTCTCAATGAACGGATAAAAACTGGGAAATATTGAGGCGAAGCCGACGCCCATCAGGATATTGCCGAACCAGAGGTAGTTCTCGTTGGTATTGGCGTAGATATAGATGACTATATTTGCGGTAAATATCACTAAAATGTCGATATATATCATCAATTGGGGTCTGATTTTGATTGCGATCAAAATACTCAGCGCTCGGGTTATAGTGAATGATAGGGCGAGCGCTGAGGCCATGAACGCGGCCGTCGTTTTCGACAAATGAAGATCTGTTTGGACGGCGAATGTGGCCGAGAACTGGAAGAATGCCGTCTCCTGTCCCGCGTATACTATGAGAAACAGTCCGCACACCGCTATCATCCACAGTGTCGTCCCATCAAAGCATTGTATTTTAAATCTAGAGTTTGTTGTGGCCGTCGGTGTCGTCGCTTCGGTCACCAACTGTTCTGACTCTTCATCCGAGTCGTGAGAATCGATACTTTGAGGCATTTTATAGCGATTTGTTATGAATAGGACTAAGAAAATGAGTGCCGATATAACGGCAGTCATCGCCGCTATAGAGTACGGTATATAGAGTTGGCTTTTGAATGTGTCGTCCGTTTGATTGCCGTAATTGTCGTCGAAATGCAATTGTGTTTGATTTGTGGTCGAAAGGTATGGCTCGGAGAGAATGGGACCCAATATGGATCCGATGCCGAAGAAGAAGTGCAACGCTTGCATATAAGGGCCGCCATCTGTGCCCCAGATTTCATTGACCCAAACGTTAACAGTTGTGTCGATGCCAGCGGTGAAGAAGCCGTTGGCCACAGCGTTGCCATAGAATTGATAGACATTACGCCAGTGCGGCACAGATGCTATTGTGCACGACTTGAGTATCAATATTATTATTAAGACCAATTGCCGATTGAATATCGTAGTGATCACACCGCCTGTCAAAATGCAATTCATTTTTTTGTAATTTACATATTAATTGTTAAGGAAATGGGATTTAATGTTATGTAATGATAAAATATGTTTTATTTTTTGAAAATGCATTCATCCCTCATATCCTCAATCGATTGAATAGAAACTCAATTTGTGTCCCAAATGTAGACCTTATTTGTCGATTGAATGATAAAATATAAAAAAGCAGTTAATGTTATGGAAAAGCCTTTGGAAATATTCATATATCTATTGTTTTATCTGATTTTTCTTGCCTTTCGGTTTGTTATGAAACAGTTCTTTGAATATTTAATAAAACAGTTATTAAAATGAATGGCAATAATGAAAAACTTTGGACTTTTAACAAATTTAAACTCAAGCAAAAGGAAAGGCTTTTATGCGCTGATTATATAACTCTTTATTTAGTAAATTGTTTATTAAAGTAATCTATTTATTGATATTTGGGCTGAAGTTTGGATTGAGGGTTAAAAGCCGGGACATGTGTTGCGGACATTTGTTTCAATGATATGGTGTAACAAATTGTTCTAGATGACTCCGATCAAGTGTACCCAAATGTAATCTAAACTAATGTTAAAGTCCACTATTTTTTGTGTTCATAAACTCAATACTAAATGCGTTCAAAATTCAATTTAACGAAATCTTATATTTTAATGAAACATCGGTTTGTATTTTGATAGATATCCAGATGTTTACTGCCGTTTAATATATGAAAATAATAATTATTCATTCATTCATTGGAAACAACAAAACATCAATAGCTAGACGTCATAGTTATTTGTTGTTCAATAATAAACAGGTAAATATAATAACACAGGTATTTATGTCTAACACTCCTTTGCCCACTAATTTGGCTGTCCTTCTGAAACACAATAGCAAAAGTACCCGTCCTTTCAAACTAGGATTTTCTCTTCACTCCCTCTCCTCTTCAGGATTTTGAGTACAAATTTCATAGCTATTGAACACAACGTATGCACATAAACACAGGGACAGGGAATCCGAGGGTTAATAATAATTAAAATGAACACTAAATTTATATATTTGTTGTATTTGTTGTTCCCCTATATTCTCACGACTCGTTTGACAAGTTTTCGGTTTCCAAAGAATTCTCGTTTTTGCAGTAAATGTGTCGACAATTTATAAGAATCACAGATCTCTCTGTTTTTCACTTCATTCATGAGTTTGTGTTTTGTAAAAAACTTATGCTTTTATTTCGCAAAACCTGTAGTTATTAGACGATAGGTATTTGGGTTTAGTTTTTGTTACTTTGACTGTAATTATATATTTATATTCTTCGTTACAATTTTACTAATTATATAATTAATTTGACTTTGAATTTCCATTTTCTACACGTGTTTACGTATTCATCAATTGATTAGCATTAAGAGTCCAGAAGACAAGACACAACTATTTGATATATTTGGATAACAAATGGATAACAAGAAGAGAAACAGCGCTATTAATTGGAGACAACGACTTGTAACAGGTATTTATTGATTGTTTTACTATTGATTCAATTAATTGGTAACATTTGGGAAACCCTTTGCCATCGATTAGTTTAATTGTAATGATTTTAATGAAATACTAAATTGTTTGTTATTGATATGTTTGGGTGTTTTATACAATATTTACTAGTGGTTTGTTTTGATTTAGTAGTTTATAAATTACACAACATCTCTATTATAATAGTCTATTTGTAGTCATGTGATAAATATAATTACTGTAATTCATTTAATATATTGATAATATTAATTACAATTACGAGTATATTATATTGATATAAATTCAATGTACCCTTTATTAGACGTTATATCAAAACAATTATATGAATTAATTAATTATTTAAATTCATTTACTAATTTATTTTATGTGTTTTTATGTTGTTTGTTATCAACTTATAACTTATGAATATTTATGGTTGTTATTATGAATACCATATTATCGATATTGTTTTCAATGAATATTGAATTTTTTTATGGCATTAGTTGTGAATTTGTCAAGGATATAATATTTATCAAATTTTGCGAAATTATAAAGCAAATAAAAAATTTTATTTAAAAATATTTATATTTAAATAAAATTATATTATTCACTTAAATAATAGGAAATGTTGTCAAGTATTAGATAAACAATTGACGATTACTTGAAATATCAATAATAGTTAAGTTTGCATATAAGTTGAGTGCTCTCTGCTGTAAAAACTTGATTTGCTATTTATAACACATTTTCAGTGACTATTTATAGTTGTTTATTGAAAATACTCATTAAACTAAAACTCAAAGGTAAATTATGTCCCAAAAATATACAGCATATGATATAAGAGTTTTATTAGATAAGGGGAGAGAGAGAGAGAGAGAGAGAGACTCGTAAATAGAGTACAGGTTTTGCAAGAATATAAAATACATGTATAAAAGCGAAAGTCTGTATATTAATTGATTATGAAGTGTATGTATGGTATGGTATAGTAATGTATGGTCAGGACTCACATGATAGCGACCCGATTACATAACCCGCAGATCTTATTGGGAAAGCAAGCGATGCCTTCTGTAAAGTTGTGTGAAATATATCTTTTAAGTCAATTAACGTCGGATTGAAAATACTAAAGCATAGACCCTATGGGGAGACAACCAAAACATACAATTCAATTATTATTGTTTCAATTGTTTAAAATTTTGTTTTTATTTATTTAATTGATTTGTATGAAAACATATACACAATAGGTTTTTATTGAATTCAAATATAAATTTGATTAATGAAAATCACTTACGCAAGCAATGAAACAATAATATAGAGCCGCAGTGTATATATATTTGGTTTTAGTTGTGTTTAAAGTATCCATTTGTAAAAATTTAATTTATTTATATACATGTATACCGAGTGTAGATATGGTGTGCATATTCTGTAAACTCAAAAGTGGTTTCTGTGTTACAAAACCACTTGAAAACAGGCATTTTTGAGATAACAATTTTATAGTTGAGACATATCTGATATTTCATACATTTAGTGCCAATTTTAGCATTTAATGTCAGGAATCAGAGTCAATGAGATTGCAATTCTTGTCATTTCATATTAATTTAGGGAATTTTTATTATTTTTGTTTTTTAAACTTAACTTAATATCTAATGGAATATTAATTTGAATTTAATTTAAACATTATTTGGGAATTAATAGTTGAAATAATGATCACGATAGTCAATATTGCGTGGTGTATATTGTCAACCAGTTAAATAATAAGTAATTTAACAAGCACATATGTATATTAAACAATGTCCATTGTTTCTGGGTTTCAAAATTGGGAATCTTTTTGCTAATGTTTACAAACATTTATTGCAAGTAAAATGTTTTAAAGTAAGTGTTATGTCATAAGAGAACCGCCTTTTCTACTCATACCTGATATTCATCACAATTAGTATAATTAAATCGATTGTGAAATCAACTTAAACAGGATTCTCACATGATTTTATGATTACAGTATATATTGATTCATAGATAATATATTCTTCACGTATTAAACTAAATAAAACTGATTTTAAATTAAGGAAATTTTTTGAAAAATAATCAAAATTTGATATTTAATTAAAAGTTTTATTGTAAAACATATGCCATTTAGGTTGTATTGAATCAGTCACACTATCAAATGTGAAATATCATTATAAATTAATCTTAAAAAACCCAAAAATAAAGGTTTTTAACACTATATTATAATTTTTATTTATTTAAATTACTTGAGATAAAGATATAACATTGAAATATATGTTCAAAATCTTTATGAGACATCTCATTGAAAAACAGGTCATTTGATTGACTTTTATTATTTATAATTTATAAATAATAATTATTTGCGTCATTTGATTTAATTTTTAGTTTTATTATAATTATTAAGTTTTTAAAAAATGTTTTAAATGAAGTTTTTGAGATTGGGGTTTTATTTCATACAAAATACATTTACACCTAAAAATAATGATAGTTTTATAATGTGTTACTTTAATATAAAAATTTTTAATTGAAGTTAAAGTTAGACAAACTTTACGAGGAAATTTTTAAAAAATAATATTTCTTACACAATTTTTATCTAATTTAAAGCATTACACGGTTTTCATAAAAGTTAAATTGAAAACTTATACAACAGTACATCGATTTTGATGGAAATCATGTAATGTTAGAAAAATCAATAAAACATTTGGATTGAGAGCTAAACGAGAGCAGAGTTTTTGGACCAAAATAGACATTTAGTTCATAACTGGCTTTCAATATAACTGTAAACCAAAACTCAAAATACATGAATAGAGAGCGCATAGAAAATAAGACTTACACTAAATTCAACACTAATTTAGAAATTAAACACATTTTTCCATTCAATTAATGCTATTATTGAGTGATTTATTAATTATATTTCAAAACATTCACAAGTGTTTAAAAGTATTGAAATCAAAGGTCATTAAGTTTGCCATGAATTTTATCGCAGGAATCCTCCAGTATTTGCCCGAAAGTCTGACCTCGAAAGTGGTCGGAAGGGATGCCGTGTTTAAGTCGACCAGTAATCGCACGTTTGAGAACGAGGACAATCTGCCGTCACTGCCGGTGCCTCAGCTCAGGTCCACTTTAGACCATTACTTGGAAACCGTGCGACCGGTGGTCACCGATGAGGAGTACGAGAAGACAGAGACCATTGTCCGCAACTTCGAGAACGGAGTGGCCGTTGATTTGCAGCAAATGCTCGTTAAGAGATCAGAGCTGCACAAGAATTGGGTAATTCATTGACCATTTGATGTATGTTTTCAAATTGTATTAATTAATTGATTGCATTTGTGTTGTATTAGTTGGAGGAGTGGTGGGAAGACGTGGCATATCTGCAACAAAGACATCCATTGATACCGTTCTCAAACATGACGGGCTCTCAGCCCAACTTTGACTTCTGGCCCATTCAGACGGGCACTCGTATCGAGCGGTTGGCGCTAATCATTAGCTTTCATTTGCAGTTTTGGCAACTCATCAGAAAGTGAGTGACAATTGATCCGTAAATCCTGTACTAAATCTAATGACTTTGGATTTGGACACAAATTTAGGGAAAAATTGAAACCAATGATAAACAAACAGATGGAACCGTTGGCTATGAATCAATTCCACCGAATGTTCAATACGTGTCGAATTCCCGGCCAAATGAAGGACTCATTGTTGACTTGTTTCAAGACGGGTCAGTGTTTGACCACTTTATCACTTCATTTTGTGTTAGATTATAGCATATAAAAGTCATTTATATATTGTGTTTAACGTTTACTTATTGTTTCTTTATATTAATTATTAATTTTGAATACAATTAACAGAATCTGAAGGTCCGACGGCTCCGACTAACCTAATAGTCCTCTACAGAGGATATCTGTTTAGCTTTGATTTGACACTAAATGACGATCTCTTGACCGCCTATGAAATCGACCACCAGTTGAGATACATCGAGGATTGGTGTCAACAACAACCCAACGCCGGACCGGGTGTCGGCGCTCTCACCACTACTGATAGGACTAAATGGGCTCAAAATCGCGAGTATTTGATTCAATTGAATGCCGAAAACAAGCAAATATTAGACACTATCGAGTCGTCAATGTTTTCCGTGGCTTTGGATGACAACGAACCCGTCAGTCAGGAAGAGGTGATCATATAATACCACGAGTTAATCGCTTATACATTACGGTAATAACACAATTGATAATCACTTATAGATATTACGAGAGGCACTGTTGGGTGACTGCTGTGAAAACCGTTGGGCCGACAAATCCTATTCCAGTATCGCTTATATGAATGGAAATTTTGCCGGAAATTTAGATGTAATTAAAATTAGTGATAAATTTGAATCAATATTTATGATTAATTTGTATGCATTTGCCTCAAAGCACACGCCGTTTGATGGGATGGCTGTCGGCACTGAAGCCCAATACATACTGATGTCAATCAACGAATGTAAAGGCGTTTACAACGGATACAAAACGAAGAGAGCCCTCCCGGAGCCGGTTTTGCTTGACTTTAAACTGGACGCCAAAATGAGCGAAGAGATCGGAATCGCGAAGTTTGCCCACAAAAAGATGTGCGAATCCATTGAAATCACATTCAAAGTGTTTTCAGAATACGGCCGATCGGTGTCCGCCAAACACCAGATCCATCCCGAGGCCTACATCCAAATGGCCATTCAGTCCGCTTACTATCGCACTCACGGCAAAGCGGCGCCCACTTATTGCACGGCCACCACTCGCAAGTTTTACCATGGTCGCACCGAGACGTGTCGGCCCTGTGTGCTCGAGAACGTTGAATTTGCCAAAGCCATGACCGACGGCACCAAAACGGTGTGCAAAACATTGCATTTTTGCGTTCAATATATTCATTATTTTGACGTTAAATCTATTCACGACTTAATAGGAGAGCGAATTGTACGCTATGATGATCAAAGCGGGCCAAAAGTTTCAGCAAACAATGGTTAACGCGTGTAACGGTCACGGATGCGATCGACACCTACTGGGCCTCTATCTCGCGGCCCTAGAGAATGGTGTGGAAGTGCCGGAGCTCTACACCGACCCGTCGTACACACGGAGCGGAGGGAACGGCAACTTTGTGTTGTCCACCAGTTGTGTCGGTTACTGGAATATATGCGGATCAGTGCCACCGATGGTAGAGAACGGGTACTCATTCTTCTATGGCATAGAACCGCATCAATACTCGTTCACTATATCCTCGTATAAGAGTTGTGGCGAAACGAGCGCTCAATTACTTCAAAACAATCTGCATTCGGCTCTCATTCAGATGAGACATATACTCGACTCTCAGAAACAACAATCATAAGTATTTTTTAATCCCTATTTATAATTAAATCCAATGACAGACAGAAAGGTGTCTAACATTTACTAAAATAACTTATTTTTTGAAATAAGTTTATCGTATCTACAAAAACAGTACTGATATTAACATTATTGATATATTCTGACTATATTTGGCACAAGAATAAGACGAAAAGTGTTGTTAAAACCTTAAATTTTTATTCATTTTTCTATACATATAAACATAAATTTGGTATCATTTGTGGTCAATATAACAAATCGTAACAAATTGTTTGTCACTAATTAATATCTTAAGCAATTATAAGTCTTATAATTTTTATAATAATCATATGTTTTTAGTTTTCTTATTGACATAATATAATGATATAAATATTTTAAATGATTTTTAACTTATGTTATATAATATAATTATAAATGTTTTTTTTGTTGCATACATTTTGTTCATAATTATCTAATTATAGATAATTCATTCATTTGTGCTTAAATATAATGATAAATACACTGAAAATGAATCTTCAATTTACGACCAATTCTTTGTTTAATATATACATTAAAATAAAATAAAAATTTTTGTTAAACAGTAATTTGGGAAAATTTTTACATTAATTATAATTATTTTAATGTTATATCTACTTTAAATATAACATATAAATATAAATTTATACAGCGTGTTTAACATCCATGGTCAAAACTATAAAAATTTTATACACAGTATGAGAATTTTATAATATATTAAGTCATTAATAGGTATTTGCATTGACTTATAATTATAATAAAATGCTTTAATTTATTGCATATATTTAATGGAAGCGAAACATACAATAAATTATGAGTTGCTGTAGTTATCAATACAGTGAAACATCTATTTTATCAATGATCTATGCTGTCAACTAAATCACAATAAGCGCTTAGTCGACAGCAAAGAGGTTTAACTGTACTTATGTTCATTGTATTGAAGTGTATTGAAAATTTTTTATGACTTCTGTGAACATTAAAAAGCAAATGCTTAACAATTACTTCGCAAACATAACCAAAAATTGAGACAATAATCCCAATAACCCAGAGATAAAATATATATTTACTAATCTTAAGAGTTAAACCCTCTGTAGACGACTCTAATTCAAAGTTTGCTAATTGTGTCTTATCAATGAAATTGGATGTCTCTCTCAGTGACACTCTTTCCCAATGAAATAAGTGTGCGCTCGACTCCAGACGTCTTATTCTGTTAAATACATATCAAATCAATGATACAAACATTTTGCACAACAAAAATACGTACATTTTATTCATACGATTCTTGAGCGCAAAATTCTTTGGCACAGCTATTGTCAACTGTTCCATAAGGAAAGTGGTTTCGGATCTCTTCGGCGGCAAATTGAAGTACTGGTGACCGAAATTAGCGGCCCTTCCGTTGATGAGAAGTCGCGGACATATGTATGTGAGACGAGACGTATTGGTGACCATCAATTCCATGGCTGTGTTTATTTTGCTGATATCCCTCAGCGCTTCTCCGATATAGTTCAGCGGCGATGTCTTTATATCCTGTTATTTATTTGATTGTTTTGTTGGCATTTAATTCATACACAGTATATGTTTATATATTGATAGTTTTATATAATTTGTTTATATAGTAAATATAGTCTTATCGCTCACTTTAATTAATTGAAACATAGTTCCGGTACCACTGGCGGCCGGTATGTATTGACCGCTTTTCACAGCAATCGCTAATTCTTGAATACTAGAGATTCCCGGCCGAGGGATGAGTTCACTCATAAACAGAAATATAACGGAAACATAACTGTGCGATAATATTAGACCAAATAATATCCAAATTGTGGCAAAAATTCTCAACTGCAGGGGAATTGAAGGGATTCCTAAAAGCATTGCATTATAAACATTATGTTTATTACATTTATGTTGTGATGTAAAGCAAACCTTGTTGTACAAGAGGTCGGACGACAATTTCAATAAGTGGTTTAAATTGTTGTTTAAATAATCGGAGTATTAATACTGAAAATATGACCGAAAATAGCAGACAAATCCATACGTTTGTAGTGAAAGGTTCAATAAGTAGTGATTTGGCGTTAAGTGAACTGATTTTATGAATTCTGGTGAAAAACGTAACGTCAGAATAATAGTAAGGAATCGTAAAGTCAACTACTTTTTGGCGCTTAGAATCGGCGGACAGACCGCCCAATGCCAAGTCGGCCGACCCGTTGACCACTCGGCCAATCATACCCGTCCACACACCAGACCTTTCTTTACCCCAATCCCAGTCTGAATGCATGAACTCATAAGAAATGTTTAGATGATTTAAAATGGTTTTAATCACTAAAAAGTCAATTCCGTTGATTATGTCATTTTGTTTGTTTGTATAGAAATAAGGCGGATTCTGTAAATTGCAAATATGTTATTATATAAGCCTTTTCATCATATTTTATACAAACCGGATAATTGGTTGCTATTTTAAATGACAATTTTGCTGATTGTCCACTTGATTCTGACATACTTTAATTTTTCATGCAAATTAATGTATGTGCATAACATTTGTGCAGTACATTAAAACTAGAAAATATTATTTAGTGAATAAAAATAGTAAAACTTGTAATATTGTTAAGCGTATGCCTCAAGAAATGTTTTATTGATTAAATGCAATACAAACCATAGTTAAAGTCTAAATATATTTCATCAGTTGAGACATTAATTACATGTTAGTTAACGTTAATGATAATTATAGGCGACAATAATAGTTACTATTGAATACATTCTTAGATCTTTACAATAGACTTATTGGTAATCAATTGTCAAACAAACATATTATTAAATATAATAATCCGAAAGTTTGTCAATAAGATTTGGTAAGAAATACCAATTGAAACATAATATTAAATTAATATTCAGTTACATTGTTGTACTATTTATTTTGCAAATAATTTATTGAAAAAAGTTACACTAAAATGAATGAATGTTAAATTATTGTTATCAAAAATTATTATATTATGAATACATACATTGTTATCAAACAAAAAAAACAAATACAAAATTACAAATAGTCTAGAGATCTTTAGTATTCTGATCATAATGTTTCGTTAAAAACTCTCTGATTTGAATGATATCTCTGTTAAGCCATTTAGCGTTGATTTTCATCCTTTCCAACGATATCTCAACCGTTTCCTGAAATCCAGGAATTCTTCTATTAGTAAAGAATGTCTCGAATTCGTTGGCCTTATCTTCTGAGGGAAACATTTCCATAAAATTCTGTATAAAAAACAACTTCTATTATAATCCTATTATTATATTACAAAAAACCAATACTTTAATCAATAAATTCATTTCAACAGTGGATGAGCCGAACATTCGCAGTAATTCCTCAAAATTTTTCTCAAAAAATTTCCACGTCTTGTCTCTGCCTATCAATGAATGACATAAACCAGAAATTATCTTTGAGCTGTCGATAAATCGTATTGTTTCCTAAAAAATGCAATAATAATTAAATAAATCAATGCAAGCAATAAATGAATATAATTTATGTTAAACTACTTACAGATATTGAAAAGTCTAAAACTTTAAGCACTCTCTCCTTCTGGTCGGTTGCGGTTAATGCCATAATAATGTGATCCCTCTTTACAGGGCTTTCGGCGTTTTTGTATAACTATTACAACAATTTAATGAATTATTTATTTTGAACACAAATTACTAATTGAATACTGATTTATACCTCAAATAATTCATCAAAAACATTATCTTCGCAATTATTTCCAACAATTTTATAAATAGTTATTATCATATTATTGTCAGTTGTATTTAAATTATCACTTTTGTAGTCTTCATATTTTTTTAAACCTTCAGAAATCACTTTCTTGTCCTTAAATTTTGCCAATAATGTCAACATTTGTGGTCTTATTTTAGTTACTCTGAGGTCTTCGGTATCTTTTGGATCCCAACCCAACTTACTGTTCAAACCGGAGAGCAGTTCCCTTCCAAACATCCAGAACTGTTCCTTTAGATTAGTGTCCGATAATAACAAATCCAATTTGGATAACAATTTTAAGATATAGTCCCAAACGGCAGAGTTGTCATCGTTTTTATAGTGTATCAAAAAGTTGAGACCCGTTTGTGTGGACATACGTCCCGATTGAATCATTGCAAACAAATCGCTCAATACATTCAACCGATCCATCGCTGGCATCGATCGGCCCTCAACTGATGGGATGAATTTGTTGAGCATTTCTATCGGATAATTAACTCTATAAAAGCCCTCATAATTGAGATTCAATTTAACCCATTCTCCTTCGTATACTTCCTTTACAGTGATATTCATTTGTTTGGTTGTCATCACTGTCTCAGCCGATGGCACGTAAGGACTAAACATGTTTGTAATTTTGATGGGTATTTGCCATATTTGGTTGGATTTATTGCCGGACTTTTCTAATGGTATAAACCTTTCCTGAGTTAATGTTAGGATACGCTGATTGTCGGACTGCCTTTCCTTTACCTGTAATTAAGTGACAGTTATTTTTTATTGCAAATGGTTTGTTGGGATCATTTCAAGATCATTACGTCTATAACTGGAAATCCTTTCTGTTTGGCCCAACTCTCAGCCATTTCTTTAAGTTTAATGTCTTTTATTTCACTAAATGTTTTCCACAAATCAGAAGCGAATGCACTCTTGAATGAGTATTTCGTTAAAAACAAACGAATTCCGTTTCTAAACGACTTAATGCATAGAAAAGTGATTATTAGTTAATGGTTTGACTTTAAAAACAGTTTTAGTAAATAAATATTCGTGTAATAATAAAATAAATATACAGTAAAATATTTTATATAAAAATCCCGTAAATATACTCTATTATTACTCTAATCTTTTTTAATGACAGAAAAATAATATAATACCTCTTTTCCGACAAATCCGTTAAACATTCTCATAATTGCGGCCGACTTTTGATACGAGACGGCACTGAATTGTTTCTCAATTTCAGACGAACTCTCGAGTCGGGTCTCAACGGGCAATGAATTTCGCATAGAATCCAATTCAATGGCATTCTGGATGTCTTTAGCGAAGTATGTCTGCCATACCTTCCAATTGGGATACAATATATCGATGGCTTCGTTCTCAATAAAAGTGGCGAACCCTTCGTTGATCCACAAGTCGTCCCACGAGTCGAGTGTCACTAAATTGCCGAACCATTGGTGAGCCAACGCGTGTGCGATCACTATTGCCACACCTCTTCTCTCCTCTTCCGATGTGTTATTGTTGACCAAAATCTGTGATTCAGTGAATGTAATCAAACCCCACGTCTCCATAGAGGAGGGAAAGTCTGATATGGATATTAGATCCAACTTTAATAACGGATACGATGTGTTGAAATAGTATTTGTAAAACATAAGCATTTTTGCGGTCACTTCGAGCGCAAACATTCCTTCCTCTTGTCTGCCTTCGGGAGTGAAGACCCGAACCGACACTTCATTGTCTTCAGTTAACTGCTCGATGTAATCAAACTTTCCGACCACTACTGCCATCATTCCGGTGGCCATCGGCGGTGATGTCGCGAATCGGATCTCATCCATCTGCGAGCTATGACTTCTTCGTCTCAATTCATTCATATTTGTGAGCGTAAAGTGATTTTTGGGCGATATTACCGTCAACTCTAACTGTGCCTTAAAGGATGGGTCGTCCCAATTGGGAAACGCCCGACGAGAGCCGGTCGGACCAAAATCGGTCACTGCTATCATCTCCTGCTGATCATCCGATACAGAGTTGGTTCTGTAAAATCCTGTCACCATATTATTGATATTCCCATTGAAATTAATGGTCAGATTTCCACTTCCTTTATCCAATTGTTTATAAAATTGCAAAATAATCGTCTCTTTCTCCAAACAAGTATAGATGTTCTTCACCTCAACTTTTGTACAAAAGTTTGTAAAACATTTTTTTTACAAAAACATTTATCAGTTTAAAAATAACAATATATTCTTACCTCTAAGTCTTCGCGTTTTAAAGGACGCGCTGTCTATATATAGATCAACGGAATTAAGTTCAATAATGTCTGTCCTGTTGTTAATCATAACCAAAATAGTTTCCGAGCCGTAAAACTTGTATCGGTTTGGATCGGAACGGAATCTCAGCTTATATTTGATTGGAGTCACCGTTTTTGGCAAACGATATATTGTATTATTAGGCCATTTGTTTCGGTCGCATATCGACACTGTCTTCTCATATCGCAAACCATTTAGTGGACTAATATTTAACGCAATAAATGAAAAACAAAATAAACAAAAATTCATATTATAATTGTTTTAAAATATTTTTAAAATAATATTTATAAAATTTATTAAGAATTGAATAAAACTTTAAAATAGACTTTGAATGCGATTCTAAACACAAACTAAACAAATGTGTGGAAAAGTTTTTGTTATTCTGGTTCTGGATCTTCTGAAAGGCTTAACCAGTTTATAGAGTATAACACATACTGTGTGTATAAATAGTGGTAATGAACTTCTAGTGAAGAGTTTCATCATTTCATTAATATATGATAACTCTTTGATTCGTTGGTCCGAAACAGAGAGTCAAACAAATGGATGGAAAGGCTTTCGACTCCTATATCACGATTGCCTTTAACTCTAGTTAAAAGATCGTCAAAAAACAGTGTTTATAAGCGAATAATTATCTCAATATGTTATGTAATAAAATCACAAAAAGCATTAAACTCTATGTTAAGGCGAAAATGTAAAGTATTTATTAAAGTGAAATATTTGCTAAGTTTGTTATTCAGGTATTAATTTACTACACAACTGTTGCCTCACGTTTTCTAACGTTATTAAATGTTAACTACAATCACGACATATAAATAGTTGTTTGTTGTTATGCCAGGGGTTTGGAGGGCTAGGGATGAGGTGCGGGTACGGATCAGGTTAGGTGTGTATGTGTTGTCTATTTATTATATTGACTTATGGTTGAATTGAACATAAAAAAGCATAAATGTTTCAGTGACCCAATGGTTCACAAAACTTCTTTGATCTCTAATTGAAAGTCACTTTTTGTTTGCTTTTCTCCGTCTTCTTCTTCTTCGTGAAAGTCCTTGAAATGAATTGCACTGAAAGTGCAAAGACTTCAAACACTTTCTATTAGACAATAAATACCTCTTAATCTTCTCTTTCAGTTCAGAGACTATTCTTTTGAATTGAATTTCGAGAAAATAAATAATTTATGAGTTTTTGCATTATATTATGTGTTGAATGAAAGTCACTGACGCTAATAAACTTACACTATAAGTATTGGTTTAAAAATATATTATTATTATTTAAAATTAAATATTTTATTAAAGTTTTATTTTTATTTATTTTTAACGATTTCTTTAATTTATTAATTTATATTACATTTAATTGGTTAATATGAACTCATTTTTGGGTATCTATTAATGATTACAACGATATAACTTATACACTGTAACTGAATGAACTAACTAAAATTGAAAAACATGATTAACAAGGACATTTAATGTAATTAAACAATCATATCATTGTTATGGCAATTAAGTAGATATGAGGCCTACAGTAGTCTACAATATGGTGTGAATTAATGAAATGATTGATTGATTTGGTTATATATCGTATTCAAAAGAAGCGGTCATTGTTTTAAACTTTTGATGAGAGAGTTCTGCGAGAAGTCGGGCGACGAGTATCTTGTGTTCCTCTTCGCTCTCTTTGGCCTCGTTTTGCAATTCAGTTAACTTTGCCCTCAGTTTTGCCATTTCTTGCGTCAACTCATTGTTCTGTCGTTGTATGGATTGGCTGTCATTCAACATCGTATCTAATCTATGGTTTTGCTTCAAAATTGCCATTTCCTTCACTTCGATCTCCTCTTCGCATAATTGCCATTTCGTATACAAAGTAATGGCAATCAAATCGCTTTGACTCACATTTAGTTCATATGATTTAAATATTTTGGACAAATATTTATCATTTTTGAGAAACACAGTGACGACGGCATAGCATAACATTGTTAGGTGTGATTTGTGGCCACTTTTCAGTATCTCAGACACACTTCGTTTCTTTCCCAACGATATTCCCTGCCTTTTGAGCCACTGTTTGATATACGAATAGTTTGTCTTTCGGTCGAAATACATATCAAACGCGTTGTCAAAACTTTCCATAATTTCCACCAAAACTGTTCCGTCCATTAGATCCGTGAGACTCCCAATCGGCGAAGACATACAGTTTAGTGATTTGAGTAAACTATTGATGATCGCACAGCACGAGCTCAGCACTAAAGACTCGGGCACATCCATTGCTGATTTCAATTTGGCCACAATTTATATATTGAATTGTAGTTTTGTTTTCACATTTAATTCATATTTATTCGTAAAACACATTAAATAATAGACAAATATTTGTCTTATCAAAGAGGTATTCAATCGTCTAATCAATGAAACTCCGGTTACAGAACTGTTGGCTTAATTAGAAATTATCGGTTGCTATGCTTTGTATAATGTCTTTACAATATTATTAAATATTTTGCTGATTATGTGCTGACAATAAAGAGGTTTTTCTCACACTTGGAGTTTGCGATCAATTATTTTCAATTGCAATAAATTAAATACAAAATACAGAACTGTTTATTGGGTTAATTATGGTTGAGATAAAAATATCCATCAATTCATTTATAAATATTAATTATAGTAAATGTAATTAAATATAAGAAATGAGATCACCATTATGCTTTTATGCTTTTTATAAATCGCTTTATTTGCGCAAATGTCATATCAAATAAATAATTAAATTTGTTATACTTTGAATGAATATTCAATACTAATTAACATTTCAATGAATTATTTGATGATTACATTTTGAAATACAATCTATTGTCGTTAATAAGGCACTAAAAATACATATAAATTATTGTAATTCTTACAATATTAGTTTGCAATAGAATCATATTACAATATTATACTGAACTTAATAAACATCTTTTAAACACAAGGTAAATTTTTAAAAACTTATAAATATAAATATTTCAAACATTAAAATGTAGTATAAAATCACAGAAATGTTAGATTTTGTGAATCCATATTTGTTTAATATGAATGCATTAATTGAGTCAAATAATGATAGCATTGATTAGCATCGATGGACTCAATGATGTAAAAGCCGTGATCTGATTGTAAGCGTCGGTCACTCCCAACACATGAAACAAGTTCTCGAAATCCATTAAAAACACCGATTTATTTATTATATTCACCAAAAGACTTAACATGAGATCAATTAGTATTGAGAATAACATATTTCACCACTAAATTCACTACAATTCGTCGACAATGTCTTCACTTTCATTGTTTGATTGAATACTAAACTCTCAACATTTTAAACATATTTTCATAAATAAAACATTTTCATAAAATACTCGTGTCTTGAAGTGAAAGTCGAGTGAATATTGAAACCATTGACACAATTAATACGATCGCTGATCACAAGGACGGCTACTTTCGCTCTGAACTAAATTACAACTCCAATCGCCGTTCAAACGTGTGTTGAGTTTGTGAATACTTTTTTGTCTCATTTAAATGTTATTTTTAATTAACGCTGAATTAAAAGTAATTTTCAGTCAAAAAAAACAAATAAACAATAAAAATATTTTAATATAAATTTGCGAGTTTTAAGACATTATGGATAGCCTTCGCGTTTTCCCAAATTTTTTACTGTAAAAATTTCCCGGTCTTTGAAAGCAAAACTTAATCTAAACTTAAAATGTTGTTTAGATTTTGTAATAATATTATATCAAAAAAGTTATAGTAATTTCTTTACAATTTTTCCCGACACTATTGAGTCAAATAAGTGTTAATATTGGCAGCGAAAACATTATTTCCTTACTTTTCCTTATTATTAATTTAAACATTTATATTGTTTACTAAAAGACAAGTTTTAAACACATCTATCAATAAACTCCTTCAAAATCTCTTAACTAAATTGAAAGGACTTTCAGTTTCTTTTTATCAATAAATTGAATTTTGAGAAAACATTCAAACATTTGTTTCTAACTATTGACCAGAAATGAGGCCAAAAGTTGTGGGATATTGTGTTTGGGAATTGAATTTCTTTATTGAAACACTAAATGTAATTAATTAAATATTTTGTCATTTAGATTGATATTCAATGATGTCTTTTAACACTTAATTATGTGGTAATTGTTTTATATTAAAAATCAAACCACAATTTACACCATTGTCTTCACAATCAGAGATATGGATCTCAAAAATGTATATTATTTGAAAGAATCTGTCAATGAATATAAATAAAGATTATAATCTATTGTATTATGAAATGAGTTTATAATTTTCAATACACCCTTCACTAGTATTTTTATGAATTGATGAAACTTATGGGCATTTTTCATTTGACAAGTAAATTAAGCAATTGTAAAATTAAAGTATTAAATTTTAAAATCACTCCCAATTGTAGAAATGGTTATTTAAAAACGTTGTGTTTATTTTGATTATTTAAAATGTTTGCCTTTCAAGTAATTGAGTTGATTTGAAGAGATATTTAACCATTTATAGACTTTTAAGATTAAGCAATTCATATGATAGGCATTTAAAAATGCATCTCAATAACAACAATAATAATCTAATAGCACGTGTTATTAAATCTGATAACATTCTACAAATTAAAATCTTGATAACTATATGTAAACTCAATTAAACCGAGTCTCAAATGTTAGAAAACATTATTAAACATTTTGTCTCTACCACGTGCTTTGGTTTGGAAATATTGTTCAAATTGATTATGATAAAAAATCTCGCGCTTTTGGTTTATTTCAAGTTTAAATAAGCGACAAATTATTATTCGAAACATTTGTAAAGTGTTTGAAAAGTGTTTGAATTGATTGACACAAATTGAGAGATAATGTCCGACCGAAAAGAGGAACCATTGGAAGCGTCGAAACCCAACATAATATATATCGGACGCAAAGGTAAACTGAAAGGAGACGCGCATAAAGTCTATAGACTTCTCAAAGTGGACGTCGAGAACGACGCGAAGATTGGATCAAATGACAAAAAGCCGTTGGAAAACAGATTCCGAAAACATCACTCTTCGGAGTTACACGAGATCTACAAAACCGAGTTAAACGACGAGTTAATTAAATATGATTTGCAATACTTTCACACATTCTGTTCGTTACTCTATTTCGTGAGAGCTTTTCATTTGTTTTACCAAATGTTTCACAAATACCGCGGAATTCATGAAATACAATTGGAGACCGTTTTCGATGAATTCGTGTTTTTCGTCGAAATCATTTTCATTGTCGTCTTATTCATCGCAAGTTTGACCGGATTTGCATTCTGTTGGCTAATGTATCTCTCGTTTGTCTTTCCGTATGTCATCTCATTATTATTGGCAACACTTCTGATTGGATTTAGACTTATTTTACAAATGGTTTACATCAACGACAGTAAGACTATAATACACTAAATGTAATCTATGTTTTAATTAAATAATACATTTCCCCCTCAATCCCAAAGATGTAATGAACAAACGATTGGGTTATGAATCAAATAAGTTCAGTGAAACATTTCTGGACGTTGGAGTGCTATTCATAACTATGATTGTGGGCTTTTGTGTGATCGCTCTGTACATCCAAATCAGCAAAAGTCAACGAGTATTTGAATACGAGCCAAACTCTTTCAAATTCAACGGCAAAGAGTGGTTAAGAGAAATGGATTCCTTCGAGGGAATTGATCGAGTGGTTTACACCATTAAACCCGAATCCAGATCTGCCACTTCTGAATGAAACCTTTATATTAATTTGTTTTAAATGCTATTTACAGACAATTTTAAATTTTCAATATT